ACTAAAACGTATAAGAATTTAAATGCTACTAGCTTTTAAAAAATTTGAACATAGAAGCAAGCTTCTTGTTTAGAGTTGGAAGACTTTTACAACGATGAAATATCGATACTGTACAACGGTAGTCACGATAAGGCTATGTACGGTAGTGACGTCGATGATCGATCCGACGTCGATCGTCGACCCGGGGTCGATCATCGACCCGAACATTGGGGGGCCGCCCTGATATACTCGCCAATCCCCAGGTGCGCCAACAAAATTTTACAGTCACGTGACAACTGACAAAACTTTATCTGGACCGTCTACGGACACGAACTACCCCAGGATCGCCAACAAAAATTCACGCTCACGTGAAGATCTGCAGAAATAATCCAATAGGTGATCACAATTTCGTGTAATGTAACACGATCAGGAAAATTCAAAACAAACGTTCGTTTTTGAAAGAGTTAGAGAAAATTGCTTGTTTTTCAAAAATTAGTATAAGAAACCACCTTCTGCGCTCTAACAAAAAAATTTCGTAAATTAATTTTACTATATAAACCACTAAATTCTAATCCTCATACAAACCATAACCATACTTAAATAAACTTCAAAGAATTTATCGCATACCACATGAGCGTAAATTTTTGGTGGCGATCCTGGGTAAGATTTAGGGTAGGCACATTATCACATGAAAGTTATAATAGGTACGTACGTATATACGTATGTTCGTAGGTACATAAATTACACGAATTGGTAAGACTGGTAGGAGTCCGGAGACTTTCCCTTTAAAAAAAGCCATAAGCCGTGTTTTGGTTTGATGCGCCCCATGTGATTACAGTTACAGGGAAAACCCGGTTTATTCATTTAACCAATCAATTTTTGTTCACATGCTGTATGAATCAGGTTTTATCGAGAATTAGGATTAGGGTTTTAAAAAAACGTGAGTTTCACGTTACACCTAATCTTGTGATCTGTTGGCAATGGGAAATTTTTGGGAATGATCGCCAATCTCATCAATCACGTGGAATGATATAAAAATTGACGCTCTCTGATTGGTTATTTTCTTTGTTTTGATTCATTTATATTACACCAGTACTTAAATTGATTTAGGATCTGCAGACTACATAATTTTGCACTTATAAAACAAAATGTAAACACTTGGTTTTTATTAATTCTTTTACTGCTGTTGCTCTTCAGTATGACACGAACCAGTGATCTTGCGAATAGAACTCCAAGCTTTTTTTTAATTGTATTTTTATGCGCTTACTTTTGCCAATAATTTCAACTTATGTTTGAAGATCCTTAAGTGAAGCTTGAAACTGCGGTGTGTGATTTAGAAACAACTAATCGGGCATCAAAAATTGAATCTTGGAAATCATCGAGTGAATCTTGGAAACCATCAGGTAGATCTTGGAAACCATCGGATGAATCTTGAAAATCATCGGGTGGATCTTGGAAGCCTTCGGGTGGATCTTGAAAACCTTCGGGTAGATCTTGGAAACCTTCGGGTGGATCTTGGAAACCATCAGGTGAATCTTGGAAATTATCGGGTGGATCTTGGAAGCTGTTGAGTGAAGCTCGGAAGGGCGAAACTTGACAGTAGAAGTGTGAAACTTGATGGTGGAAGTGTGAAACTTGATGGTGGAAGTGTGAAACTTGATGGTGGAAGTGTGAAACTCGATGTGGAAGTGTGAAACTCGATGGTGGAAGTGTGAAACTTGATGGCGGAAGTGTGAAACTTGATGATGGATGGTGAAACTTGATGGCGAATGGCATCGGGTAGATCTTGGAAGCCTTCGAGTGGATCTTGGAAACCTTCGGGTAGATCTTGAAAACCTTCGGGTGGATCTTGGAAACCTTCGGGTGGATCTTGAAAACCATCGGGTGGATCTTAGAAACCATCAGGTGGATCTTGGAAATCATCGGGTAGATCTTGGAAGCTGTTGAGTGAAGCTCGGAAGGGCGAAACTTGACAGTGGAAGTGTGAAACTTGATGGTGGAAGTGTGAAACTTGATGGTGAAAGTGTGAAACTTGATGGTAGAAGTGTGAAACTTGATGGTGGAAGTGTGAAACTTGATGGTGGAAGTTTGAAACTCGATGGTGGAAGTGTGAAACTTGATGGCGGAAGTGTTAAGCTTGATGATGGATAGTGAAACTTGATGGTGAAAAGGTGAACCTTGATAGCGGAAGGGTGAACCTTGTTAGCGGAGTCGTACAAGTGTAGATCCTACTTTCAGAAAAATAAATGAGCGATTTCAAAGTTAAGTTATTTTGTTTTTAGATATATATTACTTGTATAATGGCATAAATTCAACAGCATTAATTATTTTGCTTATTATAGTTAATCGGGAACAGTCAAAAAATCGTCGCGTAGAAATTTTACATAAATATCCAAGGGTCTGAAAATAATGAGGTATTATTTTAACAAACATATTATAAAACAATCCATGGGTCGATCACGGGGTTACTGGTTTGAATTACACTGAGGAATAACAGCCATGCTAGGATTATAATTGAGGATTAACTCCAAATTACGCAGTTATATAATACTGCTGTTATTTTTGAAACACTTGATAAAACTTGTCAGATGATCTTTTGGCCGTTCCGGTTAAGTTATTATTTCGGCATAATAGCGATAGATTCAATAAAATTTCAAGATGTACGTATGTACATACGTACGTACGTACATATGTAACTTTTATATTAATTAATGCAGTGGCACCTGATTATTGACATGATACCACATGATAAAAATTTTTTTATAATTTGTATTTTTATTAATTACAATATATTTAAATAAAGATGATACATATAAATTCTTAATCAGATTTTGCCTACATATATAAATTTTTACTAATTTTCCAATTATAAATTTTATTGTTACTTATCATATATAAATTTAAATAAGAAAAAAAGATCGACGATCTCTCTTTCCTGACCACCTGCGTTTAGGGTTGAGAGTAATTTAGGAAAAACAAAATTAATCTAGTAAAGAGTTCACTTTTTTTCAAAAACAATACCAGAACAGGGGCAACTGCCCTTGTTCCCAAGAAACGCAAAACTTCTACTATTGAAGC